TTGACACCCACACTGAACATGTTTTAGCATCCCATTTTGCTCTGACATGTCCGAGGTTACCTTCCCTGGGGTCAGCTTGCGTTTCCTTATACCCAATAGATACTTGCTCTGTCGGGTCGGATGGATGGATGGAAGGATGTCGGGTCTTTGGATATTGTACTTGATTTCTTGTCCTTCCACATTTCTGTGGTTTAACTTCCTTGAGTTCTGTGGTGGGCATCACTCTTCAGCAGCATTCCTCTTGGCCTTAGCGTCGGAGAATTGTATGGATGACCTGCGCACTCGTCGTCAGAGGCAAGGTTTGCTGTTGCTTTGCCCTGTTTACAAGTTTAAGATTGCAGCCTCCTTCCTTGTTCCTTCTCAGACGATTGTCCTTCCGTCAGATCCAATTCTGACATGGTTCATCCATACATGCTTGTGGTATCCTTTTGCTGCATTGCCTTGCTATCTCAAAGTAACACTGGAATGCCTTACAACTACAATATTCTATTCCTCATCCCCACACTTTAAGGCTTACCACTGAGCACGTGTTATTGAAGTACAGAATACAACTATAACATCCTTCTTCTTTTGGTGATACCTTATGCTGACCTAAGGGACCAGCTTTCTGGAGGTTCAACAGAATGAGGATTGCCAGGTAACTCCTTGACCTTCCTCATGCTTGTTACTATTACATTGCGTCAGGATGACTTTGTACGGTGTGGTATCTTCACGGTCACCACAAGGTCCTTCCAACGGCTGCTGCTTCCTCAGGTAAGTTCTCTTCCCTTTTACTTCTCATGCAGATGGTATTCTCTTGACCCTGGAGTAAGAAGGCCAAGGGGAGCTAATGAGGGAGGCCTTGTTCAGAAAGAGAGTTTTGAGTCAAATAAAATCCCTTTTCAAGTGGCACCTCAATAGTTCCACATTGCCACCCTTTATATTCCTCTTTACCAAAGTGGTGTCTTGGCTAAGCCGGTCATAAACTGATGCCTTGCCACCCTCCCTGATCCACTTGCATGGTAGTGCTTCTGTCTAGTGACTTCCTGCCCTTTTAAAAACAGGACAAAACATGTTGTAAAGGTACGTTGCATTCTGGGGTGTAAGGTCATTTAATGCTCGGTGCAGTGTATTGGTCCTTCAAAGGCCTGTAACATATGAGGTATAGGGGAGTGACTGAGGTGCTGCCCAGAAAGGGGCATATAATTTCACTCATGCTTTATTTATTTTTTTTGTCTTGATTTTTTATTTGCTCATAATATTTATACTGTATGTCACAAGTGCTCATCTCTCACATCATCATCATGTTTCTTGCCCACTTATTGTTCTTGTTAAATACAAGAAAATCACATCTGCATTTAAACATCTTCACTAGACAATGGTTACACACTGCTTCACTTCATTTCACTTTTGGTAAATTGGTCATTTTGAAGTAACTTTATGTGAACTGATCAGTTGTTAGCAGACTTTGCTGCAGATTATCCAAGTTTGTTTTATGAGACTTACCTTTAAGTTAAAGGTCAACAAACATGTCTATAGAAAGTATATGGTTTTTATCCTTTACAGTTGACTTTAAACTCCAGATTAGATAGTTTATTGTGGGGAGCCCCGTCGGCTCCCTGGAGCTATCGGACTGATATTAGCTATAATAATCTGGGGCCCAAGGAAAACCCCACTGTTTTTGGGAGTATTCCATCTGCCATCGACTGGGGTTAGGCACCCAGAAAGATAGGCGTCCTAAAACAAACATCACTAGGTAGAAAATTGCAACCTAAAACCAAACAGAGACCCAGAACTCCCCCTAAAAGAAACAAAGAAACAAGCAAACGTCATCAGCCCGGCGCGCCGCTTGTTTGTGGAGGGGAAGGGAAAACCCTGGACCCCCGCACCAGCAGCCCACTCTCCAGTTCGTAGACTGAAGCCGACTGGGGCAGTTGTCGACTCTGGCCTCAGTTTCCTGCCAGGAATTTGTACCCTTGTGGTGTTGCCTGCTGAGTGTGGTGCAGTGGCCAGGAGAACTTAGTGTACTGGGGCTGCATGCGCTTAGGTTACATTCCCTAAGAGCCCTGTAAGTATTAACCCCTTTGGGTTCTAGTGTTATCTTCCCTCGGGCCTTCGGGATCTCACTCCCGTAGGGGTTACTGCTGCTCAGCGTTGCCCTCGCCCTTGGAGCCAGCTGGGGTCTCGTGTCCTGTGTTTGGCTCTGGGTAGGGAGTGTTGTTGTTGCTGGTTGGGGCATAAGGTGCTGCGCAGCTCGCCTACCTAGCGGCAGCCATGTTTCTGTCCCTATGTTGTTGTTGTTGTGCTTCTGTGGGTTTTCTTTTGTTTTTGTTTTCCTGCCTGGAGAGGGGTCTCCCTAGCTTGACTATTCATCTGCCTAGGGTTTTTGGGTGGCACTCCTCTACGCTCTCGTGCTTGTACACTTCACAGGGGTTCAGTTTGCCTCTTATCTTTGTTGTTGGTGGTGATTACTATACGGGCTCAACCAGCTTTGCAGCACCATTGCCTGGGCTTCCCGTAGGGACACCCCCCCCCCCTCCCCCCCTACGGGCCCTGGAAAACCCCGTCGGGGCTTGGTTGACCAGTGGATGCGTTCTCTGAGTCCCATCTCGCTTCGTAAGAGTTTGAGGGTTGTTTGTTGCCCTTGTCTCGGGGTGACAATCACCTATTTTACCTCCGTCATGCTGCCTGTGAGGTCTACCTGGAGTCTTGCGGGACATGCTCCCCGCTTGTACTCCAGTTTACCCATTCTTCTTCGGAACTTCATAGGAGTCGGGCAGCATTTGCATTACATAGTAGGTATAAATTGTTGCAACCTGCTAGATTAGTTGTCAGCTTGGATACCAGCTTGGATTCCCTGGGGCTGCCTCATTTTGGTTTTAGGGAACTGGACGTAGGGGTGTTGGTCGCTTCGACCATGGTTCAGTCCACATCTTCAGGTCGTTCCCTGGTGGGCATGGTTCACCCTACTCCTCCCTCTCTGCTGCCAGCTCCCAAATGTCTTAGTATTTCAGAGTCGGGACGAGGTTTAGATGGTGATTAGACTCGGGCGGCCCCGGGGCCTGTCCCATTCGAAATGGACACGGAGGCATTGAAGCCTGATCCTTCTGCCAAGGCTTCTGCGCCTTCCCAGCAGGCCCCTTTCTTTGCTGCTTTTACCTTGGACTCTGCCTTTTCTTCAAGGGTGGAGGGCATGTAGGACAGTTCTGCCCCGGGAGTCGGCCTGGGGGTCTGAGACCCCTATTTGATCCTGCTTGGGTTTTGGTGTCTTTGTTGCGGGGTCTGTTGTTATGGGGGATTTTCTTATCCACCTTCCCTGTACAAAATTGATTTGGGGTCGGCTTTCCCCTTGGTTCGGTTCCAAGTTCCTTTGGGTTCTTCTGCTCCCTCTTTCCGGAGGTTTTCTACCTCCCGCATCTCACCTAAGGAGGTTCGGAAAACCCTTGCTGCTTGCCCTCTGCGTGACCCAGATTTCGCCTCCGTGATAGATCCGTCCTCATTTGAGTTCGTTTCTTCCTCCCCGTATTTGGGTGCGTTATGAGGTTCCGAAGTCTTCCTGACCAGGAGACTGCCCTTTCTTTTCTCAGGGAGCGTGGCACTGGTTTTATCGGATCCCTGATGCTTGAATGGAGGGAGGTTACTACAGTTCTACAGGTTTACTTAGAGGAGCGACTTTGAGCACCTCATTGCGTGCCTTTTGGCCCCTGTGCTTCCTCGTGATGTTGGCCTTCTGCAGCTGCATATGCAGGTTCCCTGCCTTTTGGCTGCTTTGGTGGCAGAGGATTTTTGCGCTCATGGGCATTTGGCCTCGATCTTGCCTTCTTTTCCCTTCTTGAGTTGTCCTCGGACTGGCTTGCAGAGCATGTGGAAGCGTTGAGTGCCGAGTCATCGTCTAGGGCGCTGGCCTTGGCGTTCAGGGTGTCGGCTGCGCTGTTGAAGCTGTTTGCGCCAATACTTCGGGAAGCGGTGTCTGTTTTTTTTTGCCTCTCGTGTCGTTAGGCCATCCTCGCCCCTTGGAAATACTGTACTCCTCCCTGTACGCCAGGGAGCGTGCAGTATTTCACAGCGTACAGTATTTACAGTACAGTACTGTATTTAATACAGTATTAACAGCATTTAATACAGTATTAACACCATCTATTATATAGTTTTCATCTATTAGTTCTGTCATGAACGTCGGTTTGATGCTCTTGTAGGTCACTGATTTGAATTTTGAAATTTGTAAATTTTCTGCTTAAATCACTAACGAATTATGTTAATTAGGGTGTTACATATATGTTCATGTTTAATTGACCCAGAATATATTTGTAAGGCTTACATTGTTTTTGTTAAGTAAAGCTTAATTTCAGGGGACATACAGTACTTAACAATATCTGACATAGGAAAGGAGTCTTAAATTTTGGAATATCAAGTAATTAAAGAGTTAATTATTTAAGCACAGTTAAAGAGGAGAAAGAATTGTAATTCTTTACCAGCAAGAATTCATTATCATGCTACTCCAAATGTTCTCATAAGTCAGTCATCATCATATTTGAATTCTACACAGTGTACATGCACATGTATATATATTACCATCACATATACTGTGTGTGTGTATATATATATATATATATATATATATATATATATATATATAGCTATGTATATAAAAATAACACTTAGAACATGAGAAACAACACAGTCTGAACACTTGTACATATTACTGCAGGTTCAAAGAATACTGAACAGTATTGTGTATTTCTGTATGTTTACCGAGTCACATTTGTTTTATGATTTTGTTGCATAGTTAATGTAGGCATATACACAAGCCTTTTCTTTGTATCTTTCATTTGAAGTTATACAAACTAGAATGTTGAAATATTGAGGCCATGTGATTGGGTTGAACCCACACTCGTGGACTCCCCAGGCACAAACACTAGGGACGCAGGTTCGATCACACAGTACGGCCTCAATATTTTCTCATAAATTCATCATATTTTTATTTCATTGTGTGTATATGATGTTCAATAATTTACTTACAGACGAAGTTCAGCAGTCGATGCAGAGGTTGGTCAGATTCTTTAGCTGCCACAGATCCTTGCTGCCTCAAGATTCGTCTAGACACACATGTTGAACCAACATCTCCCGGTGCCGAAGAACCAAGGGGCATCTCGGGAGCCCCTCTTCCCGTGCTGATAAAACCTTTCCTTGAAGGTCATGTGGCTGATCTTAATATGTCGCTTCTGATGAGCACTATAACAGGTCTGGTTGACCTGATAGAGGACGAGGTCATGCCACAACCATTTCCTATGGAGGTATTTATTAAAAGTACAGTACTGTATATTTAGCTTTGTAATTCGACAGAACAAATTTCCAGGTAGTTGACTATTAGTCCATGAAAGCATCAATATTGCTTATTGATGTGGTGATGTGCGGGTTAACTAATGTTACTTTTAGCACAAGTTAATGATAAAGGCCTTTTGTTAATTCAGTTTCCTCATGCAACATATTAGTCTCTCCCTTCCTTGTACTTGGCTAGGAATAGAACAATCGCTTCACAAATTTCTATGCTATGAAATATATTACAGCACTTGTTTCTTTAAGTTACCCTGTTCTCTAGATACTGATGGAGCGCATAGGACTTCAGTTGACAGAGGATAGAATACCAGCTAATATCACTTCTCCAGGTTCCGTACCCACTGTAGTGTGGCTCCCAAGACTTATTGTAAAGCGTGACAACGATGGTGTCTTTACACTTCTTCCTCAGAGTGAGGGTGAGAAATTAATTACATGAAATTTCAATACATTTATGATTGAATATTATGTACCATAGCTTCTTTATGGGCCAGCCTTGCTCCCCTTAGCTTACTCTACTGGACACCCAACCAACTTCTGATCCAGGATGGAAATGATGTTTCAGTCCATCCTGGATCATTATCAAGTCAAATTGATAATGGCCCAGGATGGGCCAAAATGTCATCATTTCTTATATTTTCAGATGTGTTAGTTGAGTGTGTCTCGTGAAAATGGTTTCATTAGAAACCAAAACTAGTTACAAGCTATCATTGACAAGCTGGTTATTTTTACAGAGAGCTGTGAAGCACAGTTGATAAAAGATGAACGTGACAGATTAAAAGAAGAATTAAATCGGGTGCGGCAACAGCTAGCGAGTGCTCAAGAAGCTAACCGCTCCCTGCAAGAAGAAGTGACGAAGTTGAACGAGAACAAGTCCACTCTTGGGTTCTCACTACCAAAGTTTCCTCTTCCGTAACAAAGTTTTGTGCTTCCAGTCATGTGTGTGGTAGAGTGAGTGGCATAGTGGCATTTAGCTTCCTCATACACACGAAGCCATCAGCAGCTATATGCCACAGATAAGTAACAGTTTGTGATAAAACAACCTCATGAAATGGCCAGTTTTCTTACTTAAGGCGTGCACTTAGAATATAAGTATTTGTAGGGTATAATATATTTTCATTTATCTTTTTTTTTTATGAGCAGAAAGGTTCATGGAAGTGCAATATTACTTTAAATAGTTTTACTAAATAAAAAAACCTTGGGATACACTTATACAATGGCAGGAGTTAGTTCCAGTATTAGTAAAGAGTACAAACAAGTACATTAATACCAGTGACCATGTCAGAGATGATTTTCTACTTCTCATACTTAAATCCGCTACTTAGTTACGAAGGACACGAATGAAGTCAATATTGACTAGTATGAGAATGAAACACAATAAATACACAGGTACTCAATGGAAAAGTGTTGGATATGCACACACACGTTGAAGTACGCATGCTCTAAATGGAAGCAGTTCTGGGTATGTGCCAAAATAACTCACGACTAAACAATATTTCTGGTAGTGTGTAATACTGCAGCACAGATCTACCGTTGCCACAACGGGTACTCTACTCTACTATACTCTCACGTCTTTCCTCGAGTGTTTGATCCCGTATTTTTCCGCCCATCATTTATGCTCCAGGTGCTACATTTCCCCACTTTGTAAATTGGGTTCGAAACTCATTTCAACCACTGCCCTGTTCTGAACAGTATATGTACAGTTGATAATCTGAGCGGCTTGGTAATCGTAAACAAACTTTTTTGGATTATTATATTTATTTATAATGGCAGATATGAATGCTGTTTTGATTGTGCTGAGATCATTGGTATTCATAAAAGATTTATCACTTATCCTGAATAAAGTTATTTATTTTGTGTAATTTTGTAAATAACATTTAGTATCAAAATATAATAAGTGCAAATATATGTTCCACTGTTTGCTATACAGTAGTAATTTTCTTGTTTCAAATCTGAACTAAAAAATAAAACTGCTGCAAGTTCCAAATTTCTACCTAACCTGACAGGAATATGATGCCAATTAGTTTGGTTAATTGTCTACTGTATTTGTAATAGTTCTTCCAGAGAATAATTATGTTGTTTACTTTAGTCTATTAGAACTGGCTGAATGGCATTAGCTCCAATATTTTGGCCAACTAACTACAAAATTGAATGAATAGTGCTATTTCTGTAAAACCTGGCAAAATTTGACAGATTAAATCTGCTTAGTCAACTTTCAAAATTCCTATATAATGGGAGCATCTGACAGGTTTGGGTTACTGTTTTAACATTGTTTATGTTCTCCAAGTGGGAAGAACTATTGTTTATATAGTTCTTCAGCCAAAATCTTCAGGTCACACTCCATCTTCATACTGTATTTGGGTTATTTTCCTGTTGCAAGTGAGAACTGCCGCCTCCTTCGTTAACACTTCCTGAGCGTGTTTATCTTTTAAACAAGATTCTGAAATTCTTTTACTTTAACACTTATCACATGCAAGTACACTACAGTACTGTGATTGTAACACTGCTCCCTAGTTTTCAGAAGTTTTCTGAATTTTTCTCTAAATATTATTGACACCATTTGGGAGGTGTCGACTGAGATGCAGACAGCCGACTTAAAATCCAGCGTACCACCTGGACTTAAAGGAAGTACCACCTCCAGCCAGAGGTGGTACTCCCTTCCCATTGAATATATATTTAAAATATATAATTAGCCCTGTATATAATGGGTAGGAATGCATTTGGCAGTGTCCGTGGTATACTGTAGTGGATGAAGGTAAACATATAGTATATGAAAAGTGTGAGCACCGAGAGCACCTATTGATGGGTTAGATTTTGGACGAGTTGAATGTGTTAAAGACACGTCGTTACGGATTATAATCCAACGTTCAATATATTTTGTCCTCACTTGCTTTGATTTATGTAATGTCCATTGAAGAAAATTATCTCTGACTTATTGTGAATTAACATTTGTTTCTTTGAAGCAATTTATAATTAGCTTAAAGATATAATTTTAGTTATCCAAGAATGGCTTTAATAGGATAGTGTGTAATATATTCTTGGTCTTATCTTGATTTTTCGATATTCTTAAAATATATAAATACATGAAATTGCACTTCCTTGCTTCTTTCCGAAAACTGTTATGACATAAAAGTTACTGCCTCTCTTGAGTATGTCTAGAACTGCAGTGCAGATCATTTTTAGTAGATTATAACACTACTCATTTATTACAGGTTGACATTACTGAAAAGTAATAGAATATTTGATGCTGTGAAATTGTTCTTGTAACTTCTGTGTAATCTAAAATCACTTACATTGGAATAAATAAATAAATAAATATATATATATATATATATATATATATATATATATATATATATATATCGTACCTAGTAGCCAGAACGCACTTGTCAGCCTACTATGCAAGGCCAAATTTGCCTAATAAGCCAAGTTTTCCTGAATTAATATATTTTCTCTAATTTTTTTCTTATGAAATGATAAAGCTATCATATATATATATATATTATATGACCGAACCTAACCAACCCTACCTAACCTAACCTAATATCTTTATATATATATATAGGTTAGGTTAGGTTAGGTATAGGTCGTATTAATCATGAAAACTTGGCTTATTAGGCAAATCGGGCCTTGCATAGTAGGCCAAAAAGTGCGTTCTGGCTACACGACACACACACACACACACACATATATAAATAATGTTGTGGTTTAAGTTGTAGTTGGGTTTCTAATTTGCAGTGACTCCTGAATGTCATTAAATATCATTATGTTGTGATTTAAGTTGTAGTTGATATTATAGTATATTGAACACTCTAAGTCACTGAAGAATAACAAGCTTTCCAAACATGTTGTTTTCACATTTGGTTGACACTCTAGTTGGCATTATCCTTACTTGTCAACATTATATCCTCGTAATTGCATTTTTTTTTTGCAAGATTCAATACATAATGATTACTATAGTTACATTATAAGTAATAAGCATTTGGCTTCATTAATGTCAATCAGTCTGGTAATTTTTGTAAGCTATACCGACCATGATCTTGCTAAACCCACATTCTGCTACTGTTCTTGCTCCTAGTTACGTTATTTAATACGTCATATCCAGGAAGTAAGTCTGGATTCGCCTCACATCACTGAAAATTTGACACCCAACCTACACACAAGAAAATAAAGGAAGTGAGGATGTGTCAGTCTGGTCCAGGGTGCTGGAAAATGTCGCCGCCTCTTGTATGTTGTGATGTGTGGGGTCGAGTATCTAGTACAGTACTGGAGCCAGATTCACGAAAGCACTTAAGCAAACACTTACGAACCTGTACATCTTTTCTCAATCTTTGGCGGCTTTGTTTCCAATTATTAAACATTTAATGAGCTCCGAAGCACCAGGAGGCTGTGTATAACAATAACAACAGTTGAATGGGAAATTTTCATGCTTGTAAACGATTTAATAAATGTAACCAAAGCCGTCAAAGATTGGGGAAAGATGTACAGATTCGTAAGTGCTTGCGTAATTGCTTTTGTGAATCTTGCCCCTGGACTTCATATCCATTTGTTTTGTGTTAGCAGGAAATCTGTGCATATTTGTTATGAAAGATAGGTACAGATATACTTTCAGCTCTGAAGCTAGAAAAGCACCAGAATGTGTGTTCAGCAAAGGCTATGCTTGCATGGGTTTTCTTACACAGTAGAGTCTTGATTAATTAAAGTAATTGGGTTAATCCAAACTTCTATTTTTTTTGTCACAAATTATATTAAAACTAACTTCCAAAGTATCTAGAAGATATTTGGATAAGTTGTTCAGTACAAAAATTATCCAAACATAATAAACAGAAAAAATTAATGAATATTCTAAATGAATTATTATCCAGATCAGTTTTCCTGCAGTAAACAAGAACTTTTGAATAATCAGCACTTCACTGTACAATATTTACCATATTTTCTATTTAATAAGGTCACAAAATGATTATGAGAGATTATTACAATATTCTGTTATGTATTCAATTACTATATGTGCAGAAGCAATCGAGAGTCAGCAAACACTTGAATACAGTAATGAGCATTATATGTACTGTATTCTACAATTTTGCAGCAGGTTAGAGGTGCTTGTTGCAGTTGAGGTTATATTCATTACTCTGTAGACTTGAGATGATCCTTTGACACGGCACATCACAATGAAAACATTTATTCAATGAGTAATAAACATTGCAGGCGATAAGTCACAATAACGTAGCTAAAGTATGTTGGTCAGACCACACACTAGAAGGTGAAGGGACGACAACGTTTCGGTCCGTCCTGGGCCATTCTCAAGTCGATTGTGAATGGTCCAAGTCGACAGACAATCGACTTGGGAATGGTCCAGGACGGACCAAAACGTCGTCGTCCCTTCACCTTCTAGTGTGTGGTCTGGTCAACAGTAATAAATATTACTCAAACATATTTTGCCTTCTGGTGTATCAGCTTATGAGCACACCAGTCACAAATCTTAAGGCATGCCCCACCTTGTTAAATGTCTAGATTTTCTGAATTGGAAATCTTGCTTTCCCAAGATTGATAATTGACAATTCCCAATGGTCCTTTGAGTCATTTGTCCCTCGGTAAAATCCTTTGTGAATATGACACCTTTGACATTGTTCTTCCTTAAACTTTCTGATCTATTGGCACTTTGAATGGTACAGTACCTAGAAAATTGTTTACCATTTTGTGCCGCAGACAATGCTAAAAAGTCTTCCAGGCTTGGCATCTTACTTCATAAGTGAGATTATTACTTACTGTACCAGTATTCAAACAAAAAATATTTTATTGTGTTTTTAGAGGTTCATAGTACAGTGTTAACATCCTTTATACTTTCAAACACAATATTGAAAGTTGAGAAATTATTCATAAGGGAGAAAGGGAGAAAAACAAGGGAATAGAATGGAAGAAGAAAATAATGAGGGAAGTGACAAGTGATAAACACTTGCCAATAGCTAAGACTACACTATCAATAGGTAAGGCTCAAGTGATATTAATTAAGTCTCGGTACTGGTACTGTACTTGGTTTTCGAGCTTGCCTCCTCGACTCACAATTGAGGATCCCAGGTTTGATCCCTGGGTAGGACAGAAATAGTTGGGCACATTTCTGTTCACCTAGCGATGAATGGATACTCGGAAGCTAGGCAGCTTTTGCAGGTTGTATCCCGGGAATGATGAGTAATTGACCTAGGAGAACCCTGATGACCCTAAATACAGGCGTCTTATCCATCACAAAGAGAAGTTTACCTCCCAGGCAATAGGTAAG